TAAGGCAGCCTTATCAAGGGGAGGGTAAGTTGCCCAGCGGTTTACGCTAAGCTCCATTAAAAACTTTAAATGGCAGACTCGTATTTCCGAACTGATGAATGAATTTACCAGGCCTTTGGGGGTAGTTATCCGCTCCCCACACCTCTTAGTGGTGGCCTGTTATTTTATACTTGGCCGACAGGACCCGCACTCAGGTACGCTTTAACTGTTGTCTTCCTTGCAGGTATTCCCCGGGTCAAGATTCGGCCAAGTTCAAGTATAAAAGCCCAGCCAAGAAATCCCACCATAGGAGGAGCGACAGCGACTCTTCAGAGGACAAGAAAGAAAGGGGCCGTGAGGGAAAATCCTACAAGCAGTCCAAGCACTGAACTGCACCCCTTTACAGCATCAACTCTCCTTAGCAATAGCAGTCATAGAAAACAGATCAAGTTGGCTAAGGAATCCAGATAATTTTGCAGAAGCGTCACTCGTGAACCACTTGGAGGAGTGGAAGTCACTCCTGGCTTCTTCTACATCCAAATCCTCTAGGGACGTCCTCAATTGGCTAGAAAAGGATGTAAAGCTAAAATTTGCTGAAACTGGTCACAATCACCTCTCCAAGATCCAGGAAGTCAGGAGAATAGTCAAGCTAGTCCTAAGAGCCTCAGACTTCATGAGGGCTATTCGTTTGACTGAACCAACCCCGATCTCCCTACCAAACTATGATTTTTCCCCTACTTATGCTGATTTTGTGAACAACAGTGTGATTTCTTTGTTGGACCAAGGAGTAATCTCTGTCTCTGATACCCCTGCTGTAACGAACCCTGTTTTTGTAATTGAGAGCTCAAGCAAGCTCAAACTCATTGTGGACCTCAGATACGTGAACCTTTTTATTTCTTATCCTGACTTTCATTACGGAATTATTGATGACGCTGTATTAGTAATGGATGGGTCCATCTTGCATAATTTTTCTGTAACATTTTATGTTAAGAATGGTTACTACCATGTGCCGATTGATCCTAAATCCCGTTCGTTCCTAACTTTCTCTTGGATGGGAAAAACCTATCATTTCAACACTCTGTGCTTTGGAATTTTCTCCGCACGGCGCATGCTAGATTTTTATGACCGTTATGCAAGAGGTTATGGCAGTGATCAGGTCCAAAGGCGTCTATATCTTCTCCTGTATTGATGATAGTCTTTCTAACCACAAGAACCTTCCCCTACGCCTTTGTAATTCTTTTCTGATCACTTTCATTTTTCACAAACTCGGATTTTTTCTCAGCCCAAACAAATGCAATATTTTCTCATCCCAATCCAACCGCTTTCTTGGCTTTATCATTGATTCACATCAGAAGAGGATTAAGGTACCCCAAGACAAAGCGGAAAATATTTTGAAACTCCTAAATGAATCCACGGCACAGTCACACCTAACTGCAAGAGGAGTTGCCTCCTTGGCAGGCAAATTGGTCTCGCTATCGAAGGTCTTTCTTCCTTCCTCGCTTCATTGCTCACACCTTCACTCCATCCTAACCAACTATGACTGAAACGCTAAGGTTGAACTCTCAGTCGAATTCAAGAATGATCTCTATTGGTGGCTTGAGCACCTTCCTAGAATACCCGGAAGACTATGGACAGTCAGAAAAGCATCGGTTACAATGCAGACAGACGCATCAGACTCCGCCGTATGAGCCATAATTTATTTTTCATCCAAGGAATCTTGGAAATTGAGTTTTCTACTCCCACCAAATTTGATTAAGACCTCGAGCACACACCGAGAATTGTATGCAGTAACAACTGCTATGACTCTCCTGGCAGAAAGGGCCCCCGAAGAACTTCACTCCCAGGCTATTAAGGTAGTAGGAGACAATCAGGCAGTCCTTTCCTCCTTAAGAAACTAAGTTCATCTGATCTTTTATTCAATTCCTTTTTTAGGAAATCGCTTCACTCCTTTTGACCTTCGACTACCAATTGCAATCATCTTGGATTCCCAGAGAATTCAATACAGTTGCGGACGATCTATCAAAGATCATTGACTACTCAGATTGAGCTCTGGGTAAGAGCATTGTGGAGTTTTTAACCTCAAAATTCGGAGAACCTACAACAGACCTCTTTGCCTCGGAAGAGAATTTTGTCTGCATACCCTTTGTTTCATAATTTATCTCACCAAACTGTCTGGCAGCAGATGCTTTGTCGCTAGATTGAAACTCTTTACCCGCTAGTCCTTACAGATGGGTCTTCCCTCCTACTTGTCTTCTTCACCAGGTCATAGCTAATATGAAATTCTTTGGGGGCGATTATCTCCTCATCACACCCAGCTCTTCTCGAGCAAGCTGGTTTTCCGCCTTACGGGACTTAGCAAGAACTTCGATTATCAACCTACAGAAGGATTTTGCTACCTGCACACCTACCTCTAGAGTTCCTAGGGATGCATTTAACCTTGGAAAGACAGGCCTAACAGTAAACAGAATCTCCATCAAAAACTTCAATTGCACCCATAACCATATTGCATAAAGGTACAAAAATGCTTTCAGGTTCCCTGTCCGAGCATCTTCTCCAAACTCCACCCGGCCTGTATCCCAGTTCGAACTCCGCCAACTCTGACACTATGACTACAGTACTCTCGCCTTCATACATTCCTATAGCCTTCAACCTCTCCTTCAATTGCTTATTGAAGCTACTAAGCCTCAACACCCTTTTAGTCTGTGTACTACGAAACAGGGGACCCCCATCGCGCAAGTCAACAGGAGGGTCCAAACGGCTATAGCACTCCCGCATTTCCTCAACAATCTCTAAGAAGGAGGTCCTGTAACCTCGCGGCTCTTGTAGACGGATTACGTCGGACCTTCCCTTGCTTAAAGTTTTAGTATAACCGGGCTGTACGCGTATTGATTCCTCATCTACCTCATTCCCCTGCAAACGCAACCCTTCGCCTCCTCGCTGCCATCTCTAACATAAGTAGGTCACAATGCAGAGATCACGAAGCAATTCTGCATGGCGATAGTCATGCTTACTCTTCAAACTTTCACGGATACTGTCATGTATCCGCTGCATCTTAGCAGCAGTCATAGCAGGAGCCTGGTGCTCTTTCACTCCCATCTTGAGTGCATAGTTGCGGTAAACCCTTCAGTAATCTCGATTATCTCGTACTTTGCTGCTGTTGCATGGATTCTGCATTCCCTCACGCCCTAATATCAGAAAGCATCGACTCAAGCAACTCAAACTAAACTCAACTGTACTACAGGATGGGAAGGGTTGACCATTCTGGTCTAGTGTCCGACTGCGCAGCTTCAACTCCGGAATCCACTGGTTTTGCAGAAAGGCGATCACATCAAAATCAGAACAGTTGGTAATATCTCTCCCTACCCGGTTTCGAATCAACCAACTACTTATGGATTGCATCATTCGCCTCCTCTCTCGCTCTCCATTCTTGGGTAAACCATGCTGCGCGATTAAATCTATAGAATCAATCAACCCCTCTGCCTAGGTTCCTTCAATCCCTCTTGACCCATGAGCAGCATCAATTTCCTGATTCTCTTTCAGTAATCGACTCATTCACCATTTCCTGCACAACAAATCAGATTTCATCAGATCAGGTGTATGTAGGTGGGGAACTTGGTATGGGTTAGGAGGTGCATGGGGTTACCCCTAGGACTTCTCCATCTTCTGTACAGATACTTCAGTGCTTCAAGTTGTGATCTCATTGGTCAGTATGTTGCTGAATTCAATTGCAATCTGCTGTCAGGATTCTGTTTGCATTGTCAATTCCTTTGGTCAGAAATTACTTCCCACCTCGCAATACTTGATGTTTGTTTTCTGAATTGGAACCCCCTTATTCTACCCCTCTTATCTCTGACTGGGAACAGGCCGCATGAACATACATAGAGGGCGTAAATCCGCTTTCCTGATTGGTTACGTTACTATGGCAGCTTAGCTACCACCGTAGTTAGGGCTGACTCAGTCAGAAAAGAGGCGGGATAAAATGGTCAGGGGCAGGCACTTACTCTGGACATGCTGCCAGATCTTGGTTCCTCATTGGCTCATCGCTCACTAGGAGGCTGCTTTCTGGACCCTCCCCAAGGTAATCCGAGGAAGGGAAATTTGGCAATTGTTCAGCAAGAAATGATGGCTATAGGGCTGGCGTCCTTTTCTAGGCCCTCTAAGGCCCCAGCTTCAGTGGGTGTCTGATTTTCAAGGGCTGATATGCCCCTTGGCGCTTCATCTGCCAATAGGCCCATTGTGACACCAGCCTCTGCAGCGGTCCAATCAGATTGATCCCGTATGGGGGAGGCCGATATCGGGCCTTATCGAATGAGCAGGGACTGGATGGCAATTGTGAGCCCATCCCAGGCACTTCTGGAAAATAACGGGGCTGGACCTTTTCTGGTCTTATGGCCCCGATCCGGTTCGTGCCTTGTCCTTTTGCTTGCCTTTCGATCGCGACTGCGGCGCCGCTCCGAACCTGCAACGCGTCGCTGGAGTATCTTCATCAACGGTGGCCCGCCCGCCTGTGCCCTGGGTGCATGGGGGTACCCCCAGGACTTCTCCATCTTCTGTGAAGATACTTCAGTGCTTGTGATCTCATTGGTCGGTATGTTTCTGAATTCAATTGCAATCTGCTGTCAGAATTCTGTTTGCATTGTCAATTCCTTTGGTCAGAAATTACTTCCCCCTTCGCAATACTTGATGTTTGTTTTCTGAATTGGAACCCCCTTATGCTACCCCTCTTATCTCTGACTGGGAACAGGCCGCATGAACATACTTATCAGAACAGATACTACACTTGTCCTATTTTTAGCCAAAAGGTCGAGAAAGGTATAATCACACCAGACTTTACTCGATGTTTCTTACAGAAATTACGGTCGAAATGGACGTATCTGAGGGCGTACTCACACTAGCACTTTTCAGAATGCATCTGACTGAATTACGGCGAGACCAGGATGGACCTGACTGCAATCACGTCCAGAGCTTTGTGGGAAAGGTTCTCGTATGAGTATGCCGTGACTGCGGTTATCTCCCCGCGTAAGTCCACAAAGCAGTTGTGTGAAAGTGCTTTAGTCCTGTCTGATGGAGGTTTGCTTTCTCTGGTGCGTTTGTTGGGGTAATCATCCCTTCGATCCAAATAAAGAAGGGTAGGTGGGCTCGTCCGTGTATGATAAGGGTGGGCACGTGAGGGGTGCGGCACAAGCTCCCGTCCCTTCGCAGCGTGGACAAACGAAGTCGGTCGAGAGGTGCATAAAATCATAAAATAATATTTTTTATCTTTTTGTTTTTCTTTGACGAATCATCTCTTGTCGACGTTGTCGTCAACACAACTCCCAACCCCGCGTTTTATTCTGGGGAAGACGAATACGAAACACGCCAACGGGGTTGCTGGGGTGCGCGCGGAGAGAGAGACAGAGAGACAGAGAGACGCACAGAGAGAGAGAGAGAGAGAGAGAGAGAGAGAGAGAGAGAGAGAGAGAGAGAGAGAGAGAGAGAGAGAGAGAGAGAGAGAGAGAGAGATTTTGCTATCCGGGTCGATGGCGATTACCTGGAAACACCCCGAACAATGTTCTTGTGCTCCAATGATTTGATTCTGATGGAGCAAGCCAAGACATCCTGCACCCCCGGAGCCCACTTCAAGGGGATGCTCTTATCACCCCTTTGAGTGTGGACACCTGGCTGGGAAGTTATAAAAGAAGAAGAAGAAGAAGAAGAAGAAGAAGAAGAAGAAGAAGAAGAAGAAGACAGCTCATCATCGCTGGATACAGCGGTTCCTGGAAGATGACCGTTGGTGTGACACGTGTCGTTGTCTCCACGGGTGTGGTGTACTTTACGGTGCGTCATATTCGCGGGAAGAGAACTCATCACTCGATACTACAGCCATAATGCCAAGGGCAAGAGTTACTGCTGCAGTCAATTCAACAATTTACTGCGGCAGTCAATACAACAATTTACTGCCGCGGTGGTCAATAGCACAAGCAGATGAGGAACGCTACCATCTTCCCCGGGGTAGAACGCACTAGAATGCTAGCGTAATGACAATGCTACCTAGTAATGACCGTGCGCTCTATTCGGTGGAAGACGCTGGCGTCATGAGAATGCAGTTGGCCAGCCATAATGACCATGAAATACAGATCGTAATGACCGTGCGTTCTATTCGGTGGAAGACGCTAGCGTCGTAAGGACAATGCTACGCTTCTAGCCCGCGGCTGCAGTTTGCAGGTTGGTGCCGGCGGACAACCAAGCGCACTCGGGGAAGTCGGAGGCGGAGGCGGAGGCGGAGGCGGAAGCGGAGGCGGACTGTGTCACTGCTCGCATGCGGTTGGTGTTTTGCCATTGCCCGGGGCCTTGCTCCACTTCACAAGACTGCACATGCATTTGGACGCAGTCTTGACCGGGTGCATTGAAAATGCTGGACTCGTCTGAATGCACATGGTCGAAGAAAGCATCGGAATGCATGTAGAGAGTTGTGCAGTGGAGCGAGGGCGCCAATCTTCCCCCTCACCATGTGACAGGCTTGTCCGTCACCATGGTGGCCCCCGCTGGCAAAACGTAAAATCTTATACCTTTCTCGGCCTTTTGGATAAGATCAAGTGTTAGTATCTGTTCTGATCAATCAAAAAAAAAGAAAAAAGAAAACAAAATAAAATAAAAAATAAAAAATAAAATCTAACCCCTTTTTTTTTTTTTTAAAGGGCGATGGCGTTGAGATGTCATCATTGAGCTGACCGGCCCCAGGCAATTAAGAAAAAAAAAAAAAAAAGAGAGTAATATTTGGTTTCACTCATCAATCAGGTTCCCTCATCTGGATCGAACTGAGATCTGTATTTCAACAGTTCATGGGTGTACCCACTGAGCTATAGGCTCATGGGGTGCAAAAACGTAAAATCATGTGCCTTTTTTTTTTTGGTAAAATCATGTGTCCTATAAACAACCAAAAACAAAAAAAAAAACAAGAAGAAGAACGGATGAATTAATAAAGTGGATATGGGAACAGAAGTGGAGCAGAAAACGGGAAAGAGAGAGAGAAGAGAGAGAAAATGGCATAACCAAAGTAGACAAAGCTTAATTAAGAGAAAAGGAGGACATGATGGAGTAGCTGAGAGTAAGGATGGCTATGACGCTCGGCTGCTTTTTGTCGTCTTGTGGAGATAACAGAGCCCATCGAGGAGGCGTTGACTGCTGTCCAGATTTTGGCGGGAAATACAACAGGGCTATGGGAGGCGGTTGCGTTTATGGCGGGAAATAGTGCACAGATTTTGGCGGGAAATACAGCAGGGCTATGGGAGGCGGTTGAGATTATGGCGGGAAATAGTGCACAGATTTTGGCTTGAAATACAGCAGGGCTATGGGAGGCCGTTGAGATTATGGCGGGAAACAGTGCAGGGGTATGTGAGGCGATTTAGCTCAGGTGAGAGTCAGGATGTGGAGGAGGGCGGAGAAGGGAGGGCAGAAAGTCAGCAGGCGTGAGGACGGACAGACACAAGGTGCTGCCGTGGTGGTTGGCAATGAACACGGGCGTGGCCATGGTCCAGGTGCTGGGAGAGGTGTTCGTGGTACAGAGAATGTTCCTGGTCTGCTCTCAGGACTCTGGAGTGCCGCCGCAAAGGCTGCCTCGAAAGCAATGGGGGGACGTCCCAAAACATTGTACTCTAGGATCGCTCTCGGTGGAGAGGAGAAAGAGGAGGAGGACGAGGAGGAGGAGGGGGAGGGGGAGGAGGAGGAGGAGAGAGCTGACGACGACAAGTTTATCTCCAAGGACGGGATCCAGACACAATCTGCCATGCTCATTGTTACATCAGGTTCAGGGTCTGATGCTGCACAAGGTCAATCAAGAACGATGATCGAGATGACTGCCACTAATCCAACGACAAGTCGCAGCGGAGGGGAGAGAGGTGAACAAAGAGAGAGAGTAAGTCGAGGTAATGGCGATGGTGGACGTTCGCTAGCCTCCTCAATGTTGGCTTCATCTTCTTCAGCATCTCCTCCAATACCTTCTCGAGCATTCTCACACCCTCCTCCTCCTCCTCCTCCTCCTCCTCCTCCTCCTTCTTCTTCTTCTGCTGCTGCTGCAGCACATGGCAGGAGCAAGTGGTTTGCGATTAGAAAGGACTCCGAGGTAGAAGATGTGCAAGGCGATGGACTTGGATATGGTGGGAATGGGAGTAGAGAGGGAGGGAGAGAGGGAGAGAGAGGAAGAGAGGGAGAGGGAGAGGGAGAGGGAGAGGATCCCGAAAGAAACGGCAGAGGAAGGGTGGAGGAATTGACAGTAGACGAGATCGTGGAACGTTACGTGGGGGAGTTTGGCCCTGGTCAGTTTTTCAATTTTGTGTTGGCGTCATTCGGATGGGTGCTTGTGGCATCCCATACGTTGGTTATGATTTTCGCGGACATGAGTCCCGATTGGAAATGTGTTGAGCACCTACCCACACATGCAACAGAACACCTACCCCCCAATCCGTCCTCTCATCACTCCAGTCTCCTCTCCCCCAGTAGTAATAATGGGGTAACCACCTCTTTCACTCCATCCTTGGGGAGCAGCAGTAGCAGTAGCAGATCGTCGTCCCTTCCTTTTTCTCCTCCTCCTCCTCCTCCTCCTCCCTCTTCTCCCGTGTTTTCCCGGGTTCTCTCTGGGGATTTCCACGAGTCCGATTCCGTCCATCACCATCGGCATCGCGATCCTGATAAAAATACGGTTAAGGATACGCCCAAGAATCGGGATCGGGATGGGAGAGGGATGCGGAGGGGAGGAAATCGGCATCTTGCCCACCCATCGGACACCCGTTGGGGTTGGTGGGTGGCACTCAGCCGTCAGATCTTCAAAGGCTTTGGGCGTCGTCGATCCGAAAACTCCAAAGCCGCAGGAGTCGGCTGGCCCAGCGGGGGCCGGGCCTCTTACGAGCCTCAATCTGTTGACGTCAACAGTTCACCCCCAAGTTTGCGGGACCAAAGGCTTGCTGATGGAGGGAGGCAGTCGTCCTCATGCGACGAGGTGTCCGCCATAGCCAGCGCCATAGCCAGCAGCAGGACGAGCTGCGGCTATGGAGAAGAGGGTGAAGAAGAAGATTCTTGGGGACTGGTAGATGATCGCTGCTCTCGTCTTCCTCCTCCTCCTCCTCTTCCTCCCCCTCTTCTTCCTCCTCCTCCTCCTCCTCCTCCTCCTCCTCCTCCTCCTCGTGGTCCTTCTCTTCGAGGTCATTTGCGTGCTCATCACCTTCGTCGTCGTCTTCAGGAGATCAACTTGTCAGCTGATGGATATGGCCAATCAAGCTGGAGGATGGAGTGCTGGCAGGCCTCCTCGCTCTGCGAATTACAGCCAGACCAATGGGTGTGGACAGGAGGCCGCCACGTGTCCACTGTTTCAGAGTTCAATCTTATCTGTGATGAAGAGTACAAGGCAGGATTGTCCGGATCTGTTTTCTTCATCGGACGCCTGATAGGTAAGTCGTATGATTTTCCTCCTTTTTTTTTTCTTTTTTTTTTTTTCCTTTCCCTCTCTCATTCTTGTTTCCTCATTTTCCTTTTCCATAAGATATTGAGGTGCACCGCTTGTTTTTTTTTGTTTTTTTGTTTTTTTTTTTCTTGTTTTCTTTTTGTCTTTTTTAAAAGTTTTTTTTCTTTTTCATTTTCTTTTTTTCTTTTTCTTTTTCTGTACCGCATTGGCTAATGCAGCAGTAATGCTAGAAGCTTAGGTTGATGCGAAGTGTTCCACCCACCTGTTTATAGAGAATTCGTTAAGCTTTTGAATAAGGTTGTT